TTTTGATTAATTAATCAAAATAATATGGTAAGAAATACCAGTTTGCAATACTGAGCCGCATAACAAGATGTACAGCAAAAATAACTGGAGTTAGGGTTACTCTCACCATAACCTGCGGATGAGACGCATTACAGTTACTAATGACCGCCGCTCTAATGTAAAGAATAAGCTGGATCGGTGTGTCATTATTTAAGGTCAGGTTTCTCCTGACATCATCAAGCTTTCCTCTGTGAGGCGACACACAGATAGACAGACAGACGACAGATAGACAGACACACAGGTGACAGATAGACAGACAGACGACAGACACACAGATGACAGACAGATGGCAGACAGACGACAGACACACAGATGACAGACAGACGACAGACACACAGATGACAGACAGACGGCAGACAGATAGACAGACACACAGATGACAGACAGACGACAGATAGACAGACGACAGATAGATGACAGACAGACACGCAGACAACAGACAGATGACAGACGACAGACACACAGGTGACAGACTGACAGATAGACACACAGATGACAAACAGACGGCAGACAGATGACAGACACACAGATGACAGACAGACGACAGATAGACAGACGACAGATAGATGACAGACAGACATGCAGACAACAGACAGATGACAGACGACAGACAGACAACAGACAGATGACAGACAGACAACAGATAGACAGACAGATGACAGACACACAGATGACAGATAGACGACACACACAGACGACAGAAAGACAACAGATAGACAGACACGCAGACGACAGACACACAGATGACAGACACACAGATGACAGACACAGACGACAGACACACAGATGACAGACAGACAACAGATAGACAGACACGCAGACGACAGACACACAGATGACAGATAGTTTTACTCCCTAATAGATCAATAAAAACATGACTGCGGTGTGACATCTCATTATTCTGTGATGTGTGGAATAATTTCTGCATTTTTATGAATTTATATTTTGCATATCTATTTTTCATATGAAATGAATCATCTTGATGTCGGTTTGTGTGTCAGAGAAAGCCACCAGTGCTGCTCTTCAGACGGAGGACTGGAGCCTGAACCTGGAGATCTGTGACATCATCAACGAGACGGATGACGGGTGCTGCATCACTCACACTTACTGCAGATACACCAGATACGCTCACTGGCTCGTTCTCTGTCGTCTGAATGCTTGTGTTGTTTTCCAGACCCAAAGATGCAGTGAAAGCTTTAAAGAAGAGGATTGTGGGTAATAAGAACTTCAGGGAGGTGATGCTGGCTCTGACCGTGAGTGTCTGTGACATCACTTCCTCTACAGGAGCGTGTGTGTTTCATAGCGTGTTGTGTTGTTAGTGTTGTTCTGTGTTCCAGGTTCTTGAGACGTGCGTGAAGAACTGTGGCCATCGTTTCCATGTGTACATCTGTTCTCTGGAGTTTGTGGAGGGCGTTCTGGTCAGAGCGATTCTGCCCAAAAACAACCCTCCCATGATCCTTCACGACAGAGTCCTGAGTCTCATCCAGGTGAAGCGCTCTCACCGCAGCTCTGATTCATGCAGTGGCTCCGGCGAGGTTTGACGTTTGTCTCTGTGTTGCAGGCGTGGGCCGATGCCTTCCGGAACAATCCGTCTCTGTCTGGAGTGGTGAACGTCTATGAGGATCTGCGGCGGAGAGGCCTGGAGTTCCCCATGACGGATCTGGACTCTCTCTCGCCCATCCACACGCCTAACAGGGTAAAGCTCACAGAATACACAGTGTTAGTTAGTGATGGTGATCCACTGGTTGAGCACTCACATGAGCCAGAACATAAACTCTGGTGTGGAGTAAAACTCTGCTCTTTTTAGTCCTGTCTAACATCTTCCAGATCTGGAAACGTCATGGAAATGAATAAATCCAAGATTTTCATTGTCCAGGGTATACACTATGTGGACAGAAATATTGGGACTCCTGAACATTAAACCAACAAGGACTATTCTAAATATATAGACATTAATGTAGACATTAATATGGAGCTAATCAGCTATAACAGCTTCCACTCTTCTAGTAAGGATTTCTGTAAGATTCCGGAGTGTTTCTGTGGGAGTTCTTGCCCATTCATGCAGTAGAGCATTTGCGAAGCCAGGCACTGACGTTGGACGAGAAGGCCTGGTTCACAATCTCCGTTCCAGTTCAGCCCAAAGGTGTTGGATGGGATTGAGTTCAGGGCTCTTCCACACCAAACTCATCCAACCATGTCTTTATGGTATGGTCCTTACTTTGTGCACTGGGGCACACTTGTCTACTTGATATTCTGAAGCATTTAGATTTCCCTTCAATGGAAGTAAGATGCCCAACTCCTGAAAAACAGCCCCACACCATTATCCCTCCTCCAGCAAACTTTACAGTCGGCACAATGCAGTCAGGAATGTAACGTTCTCCTGGCATCTCCTGACTCTCCCATCAGACTGTCACTGCACAGAACAGGTTTCCACTGCTCCAGAGTCCAGTGTGTGTGTGCTTTACACACTCCCTCCCACGCTTGGCTCGCATGCAGCTGCTCGGCCATGGAAACCCATCCATGAAGCTCCCGCCAGTGCAAGTTTGGAGCTCTTCAGCTATGGAAACAGCCGAGCATTGGCAATTTTTACACACCCAGAGCCTCAGCACTTTCTGCAGTTTTCCGGTTCATGGCTGAGTTCCTAAACGCTTCCACTTTCCAATTATACCGCTTACAGTTGACCATAGAATATCTAACAGGGATGAATGAATTCAATAATAAAGAGCTGTGTACTTCTGTCCATATAGTGTATAGTTTTTAGTACATGAATTCTAGTGCTGTGCTCTAAAATGTTTCATCTGCTAGAAATTGCTCTTGTCTAGAGTAAAACTTGCTTGTTAACTATTGTGATTTGTGAGTAAATAGTTTTTTGAGTCAGTTTTTAATATCTCAGTTTGTCTGTTTTCAGTGACTCGTCCGAACTGATTCACAAACTGTTCTGAATTTGAATGATTTTTAGAAGTGATTATGCAGTAATGCATAAGAGCATTGAAAGCGTTTCACTGAAGAGCAGCATGAACATTCTGATAAACGTCTTCTATTGTGTCCTACTGAATATGGGTCGGAATGACATCAGGCTGGGTAAATGATGACAGAATGATGTCTTTAACATGCTTTCTCTCCATTCTTCATCATTTCTCTCAGAGTATTCCGGAAAACGGGGTGTCTTCCTCATCCGTGTCCCCGTCTCAGAGTAGCTCGTCACCAGCGACACAATCAGAAGGACAGCGGAGCCCTGCGTCACCTGAGGAGGTACATGAGGCACATTATTAAAAAACCAGATGGTTGATATTTGAATGAGAATGTCATCATTGAAATTTACACAATGTAGAGATACAGAGTAATTCTTATAAAATGAACAGTAAAAATACAGAAAATAATTGTTTAATTTAAATGACAATTCAACAACTTACTGACTATAAACGCATTTATACAGTTTACATGCCCCATGAGGTATTAAGATATCACATATCTGCCATCTATCCCAACAGTGTGTATTATTTTCATTCCATCTTAGTATCTTAGTCCAAGTCGTAATGTTACGCATGTTTTACTAGGCTATGCTGAAAATAACACAAATCTGTTCTCATGAAAGAGTGGTGGCAGTGACTCTAGATAATCTCACTTCATGTGGAGGACGGCAATAGCTAGTAAAACTGTCGACCATTTATAAACAGTAGACCTAAAATTATAGCACACTATTACTCATGTTCCACTCAGATGAATCTGTAAGGCATGTATTAATATGCCAGTAAAAAAACTTACACCAAGATTTACTGTCAGAAATGAGAAATGCATCCCGTCTGACCAGAAGCAGGGTAATGAAAAGGCAAGGTCAGGGGTTAAAGGTCAGAGGTCAAGGGTGTGTGGTTTGAGGTTTGAGGTGGTCGGTGTTTGTGTGTGTGTGTGTGTGTGTGTTCTGACTGCTTTCCTCCAGAAGCGGAAGCTGAGATCTGAACTGGATCTGGTCAAAGGAAATCTGAGCATCATGACTGAGATGCTGAATCACGTCAAACCTGGAGAAACATCAGCATCAGACGCAGAACTGCTGCAGGTGTGTGTGTGTGTGTGTGTGTGTGTGTGTGTGAGTGTGTGTGTTAGGCTGCGTTATAGTGCGTGTGTTTTACCATGGTCATACATATGTCATCAAGTCACGTGTGTGTGTGTGTGTGTGTGTGTGAGAGAGCAGCAGCTGTATTCGGTGTGTAAGCAGATGCAGCAGAGGGTCGTGGAGTTGATTCCCAATCTATCTGAGGACGAGATGATCGGGGAACTTCTGCTGGTCAATGATGATCTCAACAATGCGTTCATCCGCTATGAGAGGTCAGTGAGGCTGCAGTGTGAGGCTCGTCCAGTGCTGCGTCCAGCTCTACACTAACACGCCTCTTCTCTGTCTCTGGTTAAAGGTTTGACAGGTTGAACATGCAGAGATCAAACGCAGAAGAACAGCAGGAGTCGCAGGTAAACCTTCATCTGTCTGACTCAGCCGATCAGAACATGTCTGATGTTATATAGTGCCGCCCACATTTCCAGCAGCTCTGCTTCACAAAGTATTTTTTCCATTCATTTTCCCATAGGGATTTTTAAAAAGTCTTTGTTAAAGAGTTATGAGCCATGAACCAAAGCAACCAGCTACAAGGAAAATCACAACATTACAAACTATATCAAAATAAATGATAATAAAATAAATGAGTTTTCACTTGTGGCACCGACTGTTGCGCTCCATATACATGTGCAGCGTGATTTGGACCAATGAGATTTCACTGTGGGCGGAGCTACTCAGCACTCACGGCGTAAATATCTTCAGGGATTCTGTGGGTCCTTAAAAAGTCTTTAAAAGTCTTAAATTTGTGCTTAAAAATCTTGCTAATGCTGTTTTACAAAAACATCTACAGGATGAAGATTGGTTCATAATTAAATGACTGCATATCTGTATTTCTGCACATACTGTATACACACTGATCCACATTTCTAATGATTTCATGGTGATTGTATTTCTGTGACCAGACTGGGACAGAAAACCTTATTGACCTCAGGCCTGAGTCTCCATCACCCAATCAGAACACACTCCCAGCTGTCAATCAACAGGAGCCCCGCCCTGCATCCCACCGCACAAGCAGCTCAGGTGAGAGAGATCCAGTTTTTGCGGTTTGATTAATTGTAAGAGATGATGGACCTGTGAACTGTGTGTGTGTGTGTGTGTGTCTCAGCGCTTGAAGATGAAGAGTTTGACATGTTTGCTCAGACGAGGAGCAGCTCTCTGGCCGAACAGAGGAAGAGGTTTGTGTTTGACGATCATCTGATGAGAGTGTCTTCTCCTAGAGCTCAGGTGAAGTGAGATCTGATGCTGTGTGTGTGTGTGTGTGTGTGTGCAGTGTGCGGTACGAGGATCCCGGCGCTGTGGAGGGTCTGGCTGAAGCTCTGGACACGCGTCTGCAGGTCACGGCAGGGGTCAGTACACACGTGTGCCTCTTATCACACTGATCACGCGTGTACATTACTGTGTTTGACATGCTGGAGTGTGTTTGTGTGTGTGAAGGGCTCTGAGAGCGACTGGGTCCGTCAGTCTCAGTGGATTTACAGCGAGGCTCTGGTGGGTTTCAGTGACGTCACTGGAGTCGTCGCTACACCTGATTCAATGAGATACAAACTGCAGCAAATATCAGAAAAAACATGTTAAATCACAGAACAGCTTATGTAAATGTAGAACCTTCAGATTTTATCTAGAATGATGCTTTGCATTTATTTGCATCTGGTGTGAAATGAGGTTTGTGGGGTTGATTTAAAGAATCGTTCACACAAAATTAAAATGTGTTCACCCTCAGTTCATCTGAGATCAGGATGAGTTTGTTTCTTCATCAGATTTGTAGAAATGTAGCATTGCATCAGTGTCTCAGCAATGGATGCTCTGCAGTGAATGGGTGCCGTCAGAATGAGAGTCCAAACAGCTGATAAAAACATCACAATAATCCACAAGTAATCCACAGCACTCCAGTCCATCAGTTAACATCTGGAGAAGACAAAAGCTGAAACATCCATTGCTGAGACACTGATGCAATGCTACATTTCTACAAACCTGATGAAGAAACAAACTCATCCTAATCTTAGATGAACTGAGGGTGAACACATTTACAGCTCATTTTCATTTTTCAGGTCTTCAGGTGACAGTTGAACACTGATGGTCAGATGTCTGTATAATCTGTATGATTTGCATGTGCTGATGGATGAATGGATGCTATTTAAATTTGCAGTCAGCTCTAACATCATCACTGGATCACAGATGATCAAAATGTGACAATCGCGAGAGATCTTGTGTTGTTTCCTGTTTGTAAGGAATGTTTGTGGTGTTTTTGTCGTGTTAGGCTCCAGCTCCACACAGCTCAGCCATGGATGAAATAGAGAGGTGGTTGTCTGCTGAGATGGTAAAGAGAGTTTTAGTCCCTGCTTTAACACACTTCACACTCAGATCGGTTCATGTGAGCGTAACGCTGAGCAGCAGCGCCTTCTGCTGGAGTCACAGCACTGCGCACACTGCAGCGTTACACTCATGACACTACCACACTCTACTCTGTTCCTGCAGTATGCAGCTCGTGTGCTGTGCAGTGTGCACAGTGTGTGTCTGTATGCAGAGAATACAGCAGCGCTCACTGCACTGAATACTGCGTGCTGTAATGCAGAGCACATTCAGTGACATCTGCTACGATTTATCTCTCCTGATTCATTATCTGCCATAACAAATACAAAAAAAGCTAAATAATTATATTTATGATGATAAATGGACGCCATTCACGTGAACATATTGAAATGAAGATGTCATATTCACATACCGCTGGTTTAATGTTTATCATGGATGATGTTTTTCAGCCTGATGTTGATGACAGTGAGGGTGTGACCAGTGATGGTGAGCGTCTGCTGATGTTTACTACTCATGATATCTGATTCACACTCACACACACTCATACACACACACATACACTCACTCACTCACACAGACACACACACACACACACACACAATCATACACACACACACTCATACACACACACACATACTCACACACACTCTCTCACTCACACACTCAATCACACACACACACTCTCTCACTCACACACACTCTCTCACTCACACATTCACACACACACACACACTCTCTCTCTCTCTCTCTCTCTCACTCACACACACACACACACTGTAATTCATTCGTCTGTTTTCTGCCCTCTTTATTCTGGCTGCCAGAGTTTGATCAGTTTTTAGCAGGAAGAGCTCAAGCTGCGGATCATCTTCCCTCGATGAAGAGCAGCTCGTCTGGCGGCGTCAGTCCCTCGAGCCCTCGACAGGCAGCACAGGAGCAGAACCACGAGCAGATCTTCAGGCTCTGAGATCCGCATCACATCCTCACGCTCATCGAGTCCATCCATGCAGTGAGGAAGACTCCCACAGTAATGCCTCATCTTCATCTTTAGCTTTCTTTCCAACACTGAATTTGGCCCTGGATGTGTGTGAAACTTTTGACCACTCATAAAAAACAACCTGTATGCTGTTTGTTGCCTGTGTAAGTTAATTTGTATTAATGTGTGTTTTCACGGAGTATAAAAAGCATTAATTTATGTTGTAAATTAACCACAAAGATAAGAACTCTTATACCTCTGACTGAATGTCGACATCATATTAAATGCACTATAATGTTCACGTTTGTCTCCGATTGTGTCCTTTACTGTTGTTAATGTTGTGTAGCAGTAATTCATATGTGATTATCTCACAAATCATAAAGCAGCCAAACTGTACATAATGCGGTTTGTTTTGTATTTCTTCTCTGAAATACAAACGAACCATAATTTACTCAAACTCATGTCAGGATTGAGTATGTGCTGAAGAATCAGATTTAAGACCCGTTCACACCAAGAACAATAACTATAACGTTCTGTATATTATTAACAATCTGCAGTTTTGTCGTCTGTCGCTTTAAATGCTTGCTCTATAAAGTCAGATGAATTCTGATTGGCTGCCAAAGTTTTTATTGCTCTTCAGCTGGAAAACAAAATGTTTTAAAGTGATTCTGGCGATGTTGTCCCTCTGTGTCCTTATCACAGCGCTCTGCTATTAGAATGATTATTATTAAAATCTTATTGTTATCGTCCTTGGTGTGAATGGAGCTTTATGCTATTACATTAAAAGTTAACAGTACTGGAAATTATTCTTGTGTAGCGAGGTCTTACAATATGGCTATAAAAAATAATTTAGGCAAGGAAAATTAGTGGATAAATTAATAAATTCCTACACTAATATACAGTAATCAAGAGAAACGATATTGGTCTAAACTAATGACTCAGAACCATGACTTATATCTGAGATGAAACACGCCAAGAAATAATACAACATTCAGTTATAATGACTGCTGAAACAGATTTTATTACAAAAATATAGTATTAATCATACAAAGGCATATATACATGGTTACAAAATGATTCTGACTGTAAGGAAATTTCAACATTTGAATAATTCTGAAAACATGCAATCACGTTTATTATTGACATGATTAAATAGCATTTGTCTACAAAATGTGAGTCGTTTTTCAAAGTTTTGAATAATGTGTGACATATTAAACCGGTTTAAATGTGTTTAAAAAGCGTAGACCACCCCGACGGCCAGAACCACAAACACACCGAGCAGCGTCCGCAGGAACCGCGGCACCAGAGACGAGGAGCTCTGCAGCGCTTCACACACTTTATCATCTGAGGAGAGACATCACAAACACTTAGAACACTGCAGACCTCAGCCAGAGAGAGTGTGTGTGTGTGTGTGTGTGTGTGTGTGTGAGTGAGTGAGTGAGAGAGAGTGTGTGTGTATGTGAGGGAGTGTGTGTGTGAGTGTATGTGAGGGAGTGTGTGTGTGTGTGTGAGAGAGTGAGTGTGTGTGTGTGTGTGTGTGTGTGTGTGTGTGTGTGTGTGTGTGTGTGTGTGTGTGTGTGTGTGTGTGTGTGTGTGTGTGTGTGTGTGTGTGTGTGTGTGTGTGTGTGAGGGAGAGAGAGAGAGTGTGTTTTTTTTTTACCTGCTGCTGCTGCTGTTGTGCTCTGCTTGTGTTGTGTGTGTCTCTGCCTCATTTCATTCTCTGTGTCTGAGACACAGCTCAGTGAGTCCTGCAGCTCGTTAAACACCTGAACACAACACAAACCGATCAGCAGCGCTCTTCAGTCACTCATTAATGAGCGTAACGAGCCGTAGCTCTCTCACCTGGATGTTGAGCTCAAAGGCAGTGACAGCCTCCTGCAGCACACCGCTCCGCTGCTCCTCCGTCAGCTCGATGCTGTTCATGCGGCTCCTGTACAGCTGCTTGAAGAGGTTTGGGCTGCTGACGGCCGGAAACGAGAAGAAGGACAAGCCCTCTCCGCTCTTTAGCCCGAGAGACTTCTGCGTGATGCGGCCCAGCACCTGCCCCCCCGACAGGTCGCCCAGATAGCGTGTGTACGCATGAGCCACCAGATATTCAGGGTGATCTCGGCCCACCTGAGACACAACAGAGCAAAGTCACGCTACTCTCACACAACAGAGCGTATGAATGACCTACGACGTCCTAACAGTGTCTCAGAGTCATGCTCCTCTGATATCAGTGTCAGCCATTAAAGGAATAGTTCACACAAAATAAGAGAATGAGCTGTAAATGTGTTCACCCTCAGTTCATCTGAGATTAGGATGAGTTTGTTTCTTCATCAGGTTTGTGGAAATGTAGCATTGCATCAGTGTCTCAGCAATGGATGCTCTGCAGTGAATGGGTGCCGTCAGAACGAGAGTCCAAACAGCTGATAAAAACATCACAATAATCCACAAGTAATCCACAGCACTCCAGTCCATCAGTTAACATCTGGAGAAGACAAAAGCTGAAACTAATCCAGCGTTAAGACGCTTTTAAAATACGAGGCCATAATCCATAATAATGCTTCCTCCAGTGAAAAAGTGTTCTGGTGTGAATCAGGAGAGAAACCTGCACAGATCAAGCAGCCTTTAAACAGCTCTAAACAAATATGTGGCTGGATTTTGATGTGAGAGACAACAGCAGATGCACTTTTTCACTGGAGGAAGAGTTATTATGGATTATTAACTCTATTTAACTAAGGTATTTTAGTTAAAAGCGTCTTAATGCTGGATTAGTTTCAGCTTTTGTCTTCTCCAGATGTTAACTGATGGACTGGAGTGCTGTGGATTACTTGTGGATTATTGTGATGTTTTTATCAGCTGTTTGGACTCTCATTCTGACGGCACCCATTCACTGCAGAGCATCCATTGCTGAGACACTGATGCAATGCTACATTTCTACAAATCTGATGAAGAAACAAACTCATCCTGATCTCAGATGAACTGAGGGTGAACACATTTTCAGCTAATTATCTTATTTTGTGTGAACTATCCCTTTAAGAAAGCCAATGAACATGAACACTGATCATTGATCGTCTGATGGCATGTTGAAACTAACAATCATGATTCTCGGCCAATGCTAATAATCTCTAAATTGGCCAGATATCGATGGATTAATATTTGCTGTAGAATAGACTGGTTGTAGATGTTCACCTCTCTCAGTCTCTGTGCGTATCTCAGCGCCGCGGCCGATATCGTCATCTTCTCCCTCCAGCTCCGGCCGTAGAAATACTCCAGGTCCTTCCCGATGGACTCCAGTCGGGACAGTTCCTGTGGGAAGTAAATGGGTGCCACGGCATCATGGGAGGCGTTTGTGTCCAGCGCCTCCTCCAGCGCCTCGTATATCTTATACAGCGAACACAAGAGCAGCTGAAACACAGAGCAGAAGAAGCCAGGTGAGATTCCACAGGGAATCAATATGAAGGTTAAATATGACCTAAAACTCTATCGGCGGAGCTGGAAATAGTTAGGCTGGTTAACAGCTGTGTGTTGTGATTGGTCAGTCCAGTGGTGATGTTATCAGTTATAAACTAAGGTTAATTCAATGTAAAAGTATTATCAAATATATTGACGTCTCATTGTGCTGTGTTTGAGTTACCTGATACTGCTGCAGGGACACGCGTCCTCTCTGGTAGCTCAGCATCAGCTCAGTGTTCTCCGCTCGGACGTGACTGTCTTTAGTCGCAGCTTTGATCTGCTCTGATAGTTCACTGCCAGAAAACACAGATTCACATAAACACACATCCACTCAACATGAAACACAGAATCAGAATCTGCAGTGATGCAGCTGGAGGAGACGTCAGTAACCACAGACAGACCTGTCCATGATCGCTGTCTGCATCTGGTTCTGATGCACTGATGGATCTCCTGGATGGATGTGAGCGGTGATCTGAGCTCACACTGCCGCTCCTGGCTCTTTTATACTCGCTCCTGGTGCCTGGGAGAGAGAGAGAAACAGGAAGTCAGCAGAACTCGAACAAAGACAGAGGGAGGGAGCAGCAGCTAAACATGACCAGACACATTCATCAGGAGAGATGGGGAAAACATGACTGAGGGAGAACCGAGTCACATGATGACCTGATGTTCACACGAAAGAGGGATATATATGTGATTTTCTGTTTTCTAGTGAGCAGTTATAGCATGAAACGAGGTGGACATTTCTGTGATGAATGTATGATCACGATCAGGTGTAATTATCAGAGTCAGAGTGAAAGAGCGTTGTAACAGATCAAGCGTCTCCGTCTGTCATGAAGATCATCTTGCATAAGAGCTGCAGGCTATAAACCGCCAGATTTATGGCTGTGATTCGCTGAGAAGCGATAAAGAGCGTGAGTCAGCCGAGTGTCGAAACCGTGAGTCAGCGGAAACACACTAAACATGAGCGAGCAGAACGCGAAGGAAACATGACTCGACACAATCCAGAACTCTGGAACTCTGAACCCTGCTCCAGTACAGTCTCGGTGTGTAAACACACACACACACACACACCACACACACACCACACACACACACTCACACACACACACACACACACACACACTCACACTCTCTCTCTCACACACACACACACACACTCTCACTCTCTCTCACACACACACTCTCACTCGCTCACACACACACACTCTCACTCGCTCACACACCACACACACACACACACACACACTCTCACACACACACACACACTCACACCCACACACACACACACACACACCACACACACACACACACACACACACACACACACTCTCTCTCTCTCTCTCTCTCTCTCACACACACACACACACACACTCACTCACACACACACTCTCTCACACACACACACACTCACACACACACACACACACACACACACTCACACTCTCTCTCTCACACACACACACACACACTCTCACTCTCTCTCACACACACACTCTCACTCGCTCACACACACACACTCTCACTCGCTCACACACCACACACACACACACACACACACTCTCACACACACACACACACTCACACCCACACACACACACACACACACCACACACACACACACACACACACACACACACACTCTCTCTCTCTCTCTCTCTCTCTCACACACACACACACACACACTCACTCACACACACACTCTCTCACACACACACACACTCACACACACACACACACACACACACACTCACACTCTCTCTCTCACACACACACACACACACTCTCACTCTCTCTCACACACACACTCTCACTCGCTCACACACACACACTCTCACTCGCTCACACACCACACACACACACACA